AATCATCTACATATTTGAACGACCTAAAAAATTTGAAAAATCAATCATTCATGAATGATACATTAGTATGTTAATAAACTTCGATATTCGATAATAACCTGAGAAATTATTGCTGATTTTCTTATCGAAATAACGGTCTGCGTTTTACTCGTTAGATACGGCGAAATAGTTTTAACACACAACACGATTTTCTGGTAGATACATGGATAATGCAAATTTTTAACGATAGAGAGATAAGTTAGAACGAATGTCCTACTACACCCGAAACATAACTCAGATTAGTATAACACGACACCTTGTCTTTTGATAAAGAACAGGAAATGATTATTAACGTTTCTTTGTTACATCTGTTAATCCTTTTGCAATCGTTGAATTTTTCGTTTTAAGGGACAAAACAGGATCTTGCATGTTTTAAAAAAATGTTTGTCTTAAGATTAAAACGAGGGAACATATACGTCAATAATAATTTCTTTTGCACTTAAATATTTTCTAATATCAGAAAAATACAATTGAATCGAAAATGGCTGAGAAAAAAGGCAGGGTTAAAAAAAGCTGACAGAGAATAATTTTGAACAACGATATATCAGTTATAATTTACGAATTACTTCTTAAATTAAATGTTTTTAACCAAATGTAAAGTTACTTTTGATGTCTTATTGGCTGACAAAATATTGAATTTTCAAATTGCTCTCCTTTAAAAAACTTATCGTGTTTTGAATCTGTAGCTTTCACCTGGTACTTAAAAGATGAAACAAATCACATTCTACATTTTCTTCCTTTAATTATGTTCATAAAAATACGAATTTGTATAAACGTCGATTTAATTATCACGAATACAAGCTTTTTCATTGTTGCAATAAAAATTTGTGCGTATCAACCAATACCTCGACGTCCTTTGATCCATGTTCACGATATCATCGTTTATTACGGTATCATTGCAAAAATAAATCAATTTTTACGAGGACTTTGTGAAATACTCCATTAACTCGTAAATTTCGCCCAGAGTTTTTTTGCACACAATACAACCTCGTTTTTTTTTTTTTTTTTTTTGTTTATTTCTCGCTGCACTATTTTATTCAGGATACAATAGTTTGCCGATGCTTGGAAATTTATTGTACACACTTGTCTCAAGGTTATTACGATTTTGTTGCACATTGAAACATATTTGTCGATTTAGTCAACGATTTATTATTTCCCGCACTTCACCGGCTTCGCACTAAAAACACGTTACTTTTTAGTTTATTTAATTTTATTAGCCACTTTGTTCAATTCAACCATAATTTTACACCAACGATAAGATATAAACGACGGACATTCGTTTGAACTTCAACGTGCACAAAGATGCGTGCCAATCTGACATTTCGACAATCGAAAGAAGTTTGGCGAGTCCGTTAAAGTGTAAAACCTAATCAACGCGCGTTGCTGAACACGAATTACCTTATTAAGATTGTACGAACAGACTTCTCAATCGAATATAAGATATAATTCTCTGTCGCGTGATAAATCACTCTTTCTCGAAATGGTTCACTTTCTTTTGACTCGATGTAAACATCGCGTTTCGTATCCGCATCTAATTTTTTTACGTCCGAATTTCAACAGCTACGGTTAGCGAATTAGGTGAATTATCGAACGAATTACTCGATCGATCATTTCCAATATTTTCTTAATATCTCCCCTAAGTGATCCCTTATAGTCCGACTAGATAATCGTTACGGTGGAACGTTCAAAATAGAAATATCAACGAATTATTTTGCTGCTAGACAATGATGTGCTTCGAAAGGAAGTGGACAAATAATGCTTCCAAAAGAGTTAGAAGCTATCAAGTGGAAATCATCGATAATAGGTGAAACTAACCGTGGAAAACGCGTGTACCTCGAATGATTCAGTATCGTACTTATTAGAACGAACGCAAGAATCCGGCATGATAAAATTGTTATGCAGAATGGAACGAGAACTCAACTGAGAACTCGCGGCAATTCTGTGGATCACAGAGTGTTTACGAGATACCCGTCGCTGAACAACTCAGCAGGGCGACTGCCACCTGAAATCCTCAGGTGAGCAGAGGCCACCTCTGCTCCTTGCAGTCTCTCAACGGAGAGAGAACTCGAAGGAACTCCTCCCATATCGGTGCTCTACTCCCTCCTTGAAGTATAGGTATACTTGCGTTTCTCATCGTGCTACCACAAGCCACCGACCACCAACGTGGACATTCGAATTTTCGAATTGATGATTAGACGAAATGACATCGTTGTACTAATTGTATAACCTTGCTTTCTCGCTGAAATATTTCATTTGGCTGATTGTAATTTATCTGCTGAGATATTTTATTCTCCGAGTTCGATTATATATATTTTTTTTAAACGAATAATCGAAAAAGAGATATCGTAACATGTTGTAGGAAATTAATTCCTCTGTGATGTCACACCGAAATCTTTTATGAAATCCTTTACAGCAACGTGTTTCATATATATAAATTTCATTTATTTAGATAACTTCCATATAAATAAATAAATTACACACTCGCCTTTACTTTCTAAAAAAACTATGCACTGACATATGTATATTGCTTACAATAAGACAAGTGCGACAAGAAGATACGAGCTGGATTCTGAACAGTAAGAAGATCTTATTGTACGTACATAACAATTTCTGAGACTCGTATACCTTAAATAAATATAATTTTTAAAAGTTCGTTTAGAAAGCATGAGTTTATTTTGAGTTTCAGCTCACGCGTATAAATCCCTAAAACTTCGTTTTCTTGTTATATAAGAAAATAATTGCAAGAGTAAAACTTCTTAAACCTTTTCTTAAATATCTATTGTAATACTGAACTATTGTAGACATCCAAACGTATTTTAATTTCCTTCAGAATTTTGGACAGTCGAGTGTCGTTCGAGGTTCCCGAAAAGCAAAATACCAATAGAGGGTTAAATGTTAAATAATGATGCAAATTACACATAGTCATAGTTTTATATGAGACCAACGTGCAATTTAAAAAGTTATAAATTCTGAACAGTAACTATTATTTTCGACACTAAAACGCTTTTAACGGTAATTTTATCTGTCTAAATCTGTCGATGTAATTTCTTGACATTTTATCCATAAAAGAAAGTGGGAATCTATTCATTCGTGTTTCGTTGAGAACGATTCTATTTCAGATAAAATTTGATTGCTACTTTGCATCGAGAAATACTGATGAGTTCGTTGGGATATCAAGGAATTGTTAAACGGCCGGAGATAAAGTTAACGTACTAGTTAAATTTACGATCCTTGCCTGGCAGATGCGTAGGGCGACGGATTTAGAGTGAAAGCGACAACGTCATACTCCGCAATTCGCGTTTGTTTTAGAAAATACCTTATCACGGTCGTGATAATTAAGAGAATAGGACAACGTCCGCTTTCTTTTATGTTTTCCATCGGTGAGAAAGGAATCGACCAAACCACGAATCGTCTTATCATCAGTTCCCTTCTTGAATTAAGATTTTGATATAATCATTGGACGATTATCCAATTGATCAGTTTTAATTAGTACCATTGAAGCTAAAAAATTTCGGTGCTACAAAAAGAAATGTATATTGCACGTAAAACCTTAGGATTACGCATATATTTAATTAGGTTACTGTAGGTATAATTTGGTTGCTGTGATCTCAGAAGAAGTCAACTCTCTACACGTTCGATAGACCCTATCATAATTACTCGCAATCGAAATAGAAAGAATCGTACGCAAAAATTAACACTGAAATACTATTTCTAAAATACTAAAATATTAATTCAGTCGATGAAATATCCTGTCTACTCTATAAAGAAATATTTAGACACGACACATATTAATTAACTCGATAGAGAAACAAATGACTCTCTACTTTATACAGGTCGATAATTGCAATTCAAACCTGTGTAGTTAAGGTTTGTGGGACACATGTTCGCTTGATGCTAATGCTGAACTTATTAGCACGAGTCAGAAACGTTTTCCAGGTTGATTATCGAGTAAACACAATATTATATCGGTTCCCGTTTCACCCATTATTAGCCTTGTCCGTTGATATTCACATTGAATCGTTGAAATTCTAATTTATCGTAATGTTCCCTTATACTGTTATTCTTATTGAAATCTGTGACATTCTAATTGTACGTGGCACGTGACAAGGTGTAGCGACACGTACTGTAATTTATCGATCTCATTTCTTCCGTAAAAATATATCAACTCGTTTTAATAATCTTGATAAGTTATCTTCTGATAAAACTCATTGCACTCATAACATTCGATAAGAGTAACATTCGTTATAATTTGATGCCGTTAATCAGATTATCCCTTAACTATAATACAAAAATTTCTATAATTATGTAATTAAAAGATAATAAAAAGAAAATTATTTTCATTACGTACAGTGTGTGAGTGACTCACAAAAATATGTGAATAGTTAGTATAGAAAATTTCTATGAACATATTATATGTATTATAAAAAACATTTCGACATTTCATTGATCTTGTCGCTATCAATTATAGCGATAGAATTTGAAATCAATCTGGAAATATATGTGAAAATTATAAAACGTTTATTGCAAACATATAATTAATAAAAAATTAGTACATTATATAGTAGGCGATGCCACTAAAAAAAGTATATGAGGTTTATTAACATGATTAATAATCGACTATTTAAATAATTTTGGGACCTCTGCGATTAGTATGGTCGCAATAAAAATATCATCGTGCGTCATAAAAAATCTTTTATACAATACATAATAGAAATATATAAATAATAGATAATAGAAAAAGTTTCTACAAATATTGAAATATTTTTTGCTTGTCAATTTTATTTCTTCCACGGATAAATACATATTGAATTACAGGGAAAAATTAAACATTATAAAGTCTGCGGTAAAATTCACCTCTATCGTAGTATCGATATTTTAGTTCGATGATATTTTAACTTCCAGCTCAAGTTTTTCATATTTGTGCAACATTCGTTTGTTTCACATAATTTTTTTTCAACAGTTTGTCGTTTCATCGCGTTTCGTTTTTAATTATTTATTCAAAGGTTAATGGAAAGAAGTTTGTATTATCATCAGGTTTAAACTTGAAAATCAAATTTTTTATCTCGGAATAATGAGCATGTTTGGAGATATAAAGGTGAAGACGTGGTCACCCGTGATTCCTTGCAAAATTCCAGATAATATCGTTTCTTCCCAATTCACATCGTCTAAAGTATTTACTCCGTCTTACGAAAAGTACGTTATTCAATTAAATTGAAATTTAATTTAATGATTATTAGTAATTGATCAGTTATTAAATTCCTTATTAAATTGGGACGCTCTTAATATTTTAATAAATAATCAAGGCATATTTTCTGTAATATCGCAGGGAAAAACGTCCTTGTATAGAACAATTGTTAACGAATGAATATCAGCGAATCTGGTGGCAAGAAAAGGAAATATGGGACAAAAGGTGCAGAACAAAGATAACAACTAAACAGTTATTGCAACGCATGGTAAAAGAAAATATAACATAATAACCATGTTATTAAATTTTTCATCCATTTAATGAAAAATACCTCTACACGATATCAATTATTACACTTATAAAAACGCCTTTGTATAATTGTTATTAAAGGTAATTCGTAGAAAATCGAAAGTAGTTCCTCCTATCGATAAACCCAAAATGACTAAAAAACCAAAGAAAAAGGGAAAAGTGAAAGAATCAAAGGATGATAAGAAGGAAGAAGGAAAGTCTACACAGGAAACGAAAACAAATGAAACGAAGGAAAGTAGTGAGAAAAAATCACCAAAATAAATTCCCTAAAAGATTACTGTTGGTTATAACTGAAATTCAAACGAGTTTTCGAACGTTCTTTTAACACAGAATTTTATAACTCGTAAACGTTAAGATCAACATCCATCGATTTTATTACTCAAACCTTGAAAATCGCGATATCTAGCACAACACATACACGACTACATGTCAAACCATGCTTGTTTCCCTTCGAACTATTTTTCACGTACAACGTGAAGAAAATACAATTTTTTGATTACCTTTAATTCAAACCCTGTCAAGTATTATAAGTTATAAGTTTATAGAAATTTAATAAATCAATCTCGCGTAAGCAGTAGATGATGTTCTTCTCACCGGAAATGCACGTAAGAAGCTTTTTCTCGAGAGCACAAGGAAAGTAATTCTATTTTTTTTCATAGTTTCGTTACGAAAATTAATGTATCTGAGCAAAACGTTTTATCAAATAAATATTACTTTGAAATCATTTCTACACGCAACCATGATCATAACCGCAGTAAAACTAGGTAGATATAAAGGAATGACGCTTAAGATTATAACAACGCTATGCAATATTTGTATAGTAACGGATAATGCAAATAACAATTACGTGATTTTAATGATTCCTTTTTTTCCTTTATATATAGTCTTTCTAATAGTATTACTTACCAATCTGTCCTAGTATGATAAGATTTCGCGGAGCCTACACTACACATGGTTGCAGTTTATGGAAAAACGAAAGTGGAAAATGCTGATGCAATCAGCAACGATAGTTGAGTTTGATTTCCAGCATGTGGAATGAATTTTCAAGGGGAAAAAGAATGTTGTCGCAGGTTTTACGTTTTTCACGACAGTCGTAGATCTATTTTATCCTGTAGCCGAAATAAATGATTCTTTTATTTTTCTTAATACTTAACGCGTCTTAAGGAAGAAAAAGATATATCTTAAAAGGATTTAAATTCTATTATAGCTAAGGGGATATTTATCTGTTATCTCTGGATATTGAATTTTTCTTTGTGAATATTATGCATAGACTTTGTTTTTTTTATTCCTTTTTAAATTTTTTGTTGGACAATATTTTTGAAAGAAAGGTCCAGAACCCGTTCAAGGCGAACTACATGCCTCTATAAATATCTATCAATTAACTATCCGATATTTCATCTACAAAACAAGATGAAACAGTCACCTTTATTGCATCATAATCGATTCATTTGTAACAAGATATTTTCCATTTCGAAAATATATTTCTTTGCGGTGACGTCAATGAAGCGCCAAAAAATATCAAGAAATGTGCCTCGTGAAACGGTAACACAGTGCATCTTGTCGAATGTTAGTCGCAAGTATTTATTTTGCATAAAAATGTATACGAAGAAATGACGATAATTTTATTTTTTTTAACTTTTTCATTTATTTATATCTTGATTAAGGACTTAGGAAATACCTTAAATAACAAAATCGCGGTGACATAAAGAAAAGAAAATCTTTACGATCCTTATGAAGCATACTATTTATTTGTTTATTTGTATTTGTATTTAAAAAAAGATTTTTATATCGATAGGTTAATTAAATCAGCATTAAAACGTAGAATATTGTTCGTATCGATTGCACGCTCGTAAAAGAAAGAAAAGATAAAATAGGTGAAACGGGGCAACAAAATTCAATCATGGAACAATTAACCGTGGATTAAGAGATCAAACGGACTGCAGTTTCTACTTATATGTTTCAAAATGTCGTGTTCCGGCATGGAAAAAAACAACACATCTACATACAACTTCATTCGATATCCTTCGAATATAAGGTTACATTCGTGCTAGGCCATATTCCATTTCTACCATTTCGTTGCAAAACTACCTAGGTGTTTCGTTACGTTATACTACCGCATTAAATAACAGCCAATCGACAATTGTTTCCTATAAATTCTTCACGACGGTGAATGAAAGAGAGATCAAAGCAAATCGTCGTACAATATGACCATTTTGCACGCAATGCACACCCCCACATGTTTTCTTGAGAATAAAAGAAAATATAGGTTATGAACAACAAGAAACAAATTCATAATTTTGCAAGTGCATTATGTTTGAGAATTGGCTACCCTTAAAAATATCATTATTGAATATTTCTATGAATAAAGTAATTTTGAAAATTTCTGCATTGCACATTCTATTTCATTCACTTACATTAAAATCTAATGATTAAACGGATTAATATATCATTGGTTTGCTTGAAAAGTAATATCTCAAAAATCATCATATTTGAGATTAACTCTAAAATTGAGGTACTTTTTGAGGACGGAAATAATTACTTAATAAAATTAACTATTTTACAATTATTATTTTAAAATTAACTACTAAGCTATTTAACAAGAACAATTTGACAATTCAACAATTATTTAATAGTAAATAATTCGAAATCTAACTTAAAGAGTAAACAAATACACATAGATGTATTAGATTAGATAGATAGAATACACATAGATGAATTCTATTATTCTAATAGTAGTAGAATTCTAATTCTAGTAGTAAAAATCTAGTATTTCAAATAGATTTCCTAAAAAATTTACTTCTTTACCTGCTACATTCTTTGAACAAACCAGCAATATGTAATATATGTAATACATCTTTTTATAATTCAAGATAATTCCATATTAAAAAATATACAAACGCAATAAATAAATTTATAACGATACCTGTACACCGTTATAGTATACTTGAGAAAATTCGCGCGTAGAATTCGAATGATAGTGCTGCCACCTGGTAAAGGCTGAAGACGTTCACGTCATCTCAGCACCACTTTAGTTTGTCAAAGTGAATAAATCAAACCTAAATCGCGTCTTTTCGATAAACGTTACTTGAGAATATTTTAACTTTTTTCCCTGGTCAATAGAAATCGTGGTAATGCAAACGTGTTTACGGCAGTGGAACGTAAAGTGTACAATTGTTTAAGAAATTCTGATTTTGTTCTTCGGTATGTCAGAAGGCGAGGCTACAGCATCGCAGAAGAAACAGCAGCCATTTCAGCAACAGCCACAACTTGGAATAGGCTCAATGGCGAATATGGCATGGCAATATCCCTCGCCAAACAATATCCACAACATGTTTCCCCCATATTCAGGGTAATTATCAACTACATCGATTTAACCACAAATTTATTGTTCTACTAATGAAAATAACGCGATATTTCAATACGAAGTATCTTATGTGCACGTTTAGGAACAACGTATTATGCACGTAATGTCCGATGATTTCATATAATCTTAATTTACAATTCTTTTGATATTTCTGTTTTCATTTGCATTTGAACTAACATAAAACAGCTATCGATCGATTAATGAATGGATAAGGAACATCTAGGAAATAAGTATTGTAATATAATACATATTAACGTGAATAAAAGACGCTTTGTAATGACCTAATTTTAGATTAACATACATAATATAAGTAATTTGGAATAATAATAAATTATTTATTTTAGTAAATAAAATACACCACAATACAAGTAGATACTAAATAAAAGTTTTAAAACTTTTTGTATGATACTTTTTATTTTAATATTTGGAAATTTTTGAAGTTATGACAAAGCTAATAATAAACCTTTTGCAATATTAAGCACTTCAGTTGCATATATTGATAAGCGTATTTATGTTTTTTATAGGCAGTTATATGGACCAGGATATCAAGGTGTACCTCATCAAGGACAAACGTTTAGCTACTATCATGCAATGATGCCAGGATATGGACAACCTTTTACTCCACAGCAGATGCAACAGCAGCAGCAGCACCAACAACAGCAGCAACAACAGCAACAGCAGCAGCAGCAGCCACAGCAGGACAACAATCAAGGAAAACAGTTACATCAGCAACCGCCAGTACCTGGAACCCCCATGTCTTTGGATGATGATTCTGAACTTCCTCCTTTACCTCCTGGACCACCCCCATCAGTACAGACATCTCAACAACACAATAATCAAATACAACCATCTATGCAGCCTCATCCAGGGTACATGTACAATGCTTTTCCATATGGTACTTGGAATGGCATGCACAATGATATGTCTCGTAAGTTTTTTTCTTAAATAGAAAGTATCAGGGAAAATGTACTTTTATTTAATATATATAAAATAATACTTGTTTTCATCTTTTTTTTTCAGAATACAATAATCAAATTCGTTTCAACGTATATAACAAAAAGAATGGTTTGGCTTTTCTCTCTCCATCTGGCAATAGTGGAGCTGCGAAGAGAAAACGTAAGCGGAATAAAAATTTAGCAGCTCAATTCAACAATAACTTTCAGGCAAACAGTCCAACAACGAATTTCGTACCGGGTCCCAATCTAAAGACCGAATTACCACCTTTACCTCCTGCACAGTGTGAAATAGTGGCTCCTCCTCCACCAACTGAAGAATCCCCTGCTCCTACTACACCTGCTATCACAACTGTTAATAATACAATTCCTAGTGCTGGTACACCAGCGGTAGGTACACCCTCTATCGTGACAAATCCCAGCCCAGTCGGTGATTGGCCTGACAGTTTGAAGAACTATGTAAACAGGTGTTACGAAAAATGCAAAACGGCAGTAGACAAGGATCAAGTTGAGATTATATTAAAAGGAAAGATTACGCGTGCAGCGAACGACGGCTCGCTTTGGGTAAAAGACTGGGATCAAGAACCATTGCCTAGCATTCATAGTGAACGTATGACTATGACGATAAAGCCTCAAAAACCGGCCTTGAAATTAAATAATTTGCCGAATCCGCTGATGAATGCACAGGGAGGCTTGCGCAAGCCAGGTCTCTCCACTTCTCTTGGGGCTCGGCTTGGCGCGCGTCTCTCTGTGAATTACAAACGGTCAAGGTCGAGGTCGAGGACTAGATCAAGATCAAGATCCAGATCGAGATCAAAGTCCAGGTCGAGGTCGAGGTCAAGATCGAAGTCAAGGTCGCGTTCGAATACACGTAGCCCACCATCACGAAAGTACAGGCGTAGTACATCATCGTCGTCGAACGTTAGTGATCGGGAACACGATTATAAATCGCTAAAAACGAAAAAATCTACTAAAAACAAACTGAGTCACAGCAGCAAGAAAACAAAGAAGAGTAAACAGATGAAATCACATTTCTATTCAGAATTTGGTTTAGCTACAGGAAACACTGAGGAATTAGGATCTAAGGAGAAATTACAACAGCGTGCTGCAAGATTTAACGATACTATTTCCAGGACAGCCAACAATGGTGTTAAAGATGACTCATCTACAGACTTTGATTTTACTGGACTTCACATTGTCGGAGTATGCAAGGACATAGAGAAACCTTATTTACGTTTAACATCTGTAAGATTTCTGTCACCGATTAAATTCATTTGAAATCGGTTTGTAGAATTTATCAAAATACTCCTTACTTTTATATTATAGGCTCCAGCTCCCTCCGCCGTTCGACCGGTAAGTGTACTCCAAAATTCTTTGGCACATGTCAAGAAACGCTGGGTGGCTGATCAGGACTATAGATATGCTTGTGATCAACTTAAATCTATTCGTCAAGATCTTACCGTCCAAGGTATTCGAGATGCATTTACAGTCCACGTGTATGAAACACACGCCCGTGTTGCCCTAGAGAAAGGAGATCATGAAGAATTCAACCAGTGCCAGACTCAATTACGAATGTTATATCAAGACGTCGGCGGAGAAAATCGATGTGAATTTATTGCATACAGAATATTGTATTATATTTTCACAAAAAATACTCAAGGTTTTTAATTATTTCATTATGCGTATAATTATGTAACATTACCAGTGTAATATTCTTTTTACATAAGAATAAGAAAATTAATACTTTTGTTACAGATTTAACGACGATTTTAGCAGCTTTATCAGTAGAAGACAAAAATGATGAGTGTATAAAACATGCGCTCAAAGTGCGTTCAGCTTGGTGGTTGAAAAACTTCCATGCCTTTTTCAAACTATACACTTCTGCTCCGAGGATGGCAGCCTTTTTAATGGATTGGTTTGTTGCAAGGGAACGCAAGAATGCATTGAAGAGCATGATAAAGTCGTACGTACTAGACTCTTTAGAAGTAATCATTTATATCTACTTGACAAATTATCTTCAAACAATATTTTTCTATACAACATTTTTACAAAAAATTAATCATGATAACGCTAAGAAATATAATAGATAAAAATATAACTAATTTCATATTAACAGGTACATTCAATTGGTAAACTGTTAGATAGCATTTAACTTTAAAGTATTATAATCTTATTTGACAATTTTTTTGCAATTTTTTATGACCAAAAAACGAATTTTTTTAATTTTTTAAACGATCTTCAAATATATTTCTATAAATAAATTTAACGGAAATATATATATACGAAGGTACAAAAAGTAAGAAATAATTTATTTTTAGTTTTCGTAAGGACCAACATTATTTCATGTATATAAAGGAACAAAGGAAGTGAAAGATTGCAAATAATTTTTTTAACAATTATAATTATACATAGATTTCTGTTACAGGACATCGTAGCTGAAAAATGACTAGTTTTGTTGTTGTTTATTTTCATTGTATTATGTATATTATATGTGTGTATATATACTTTGTGTATATGTCCATTGCACGATTATCTAACGATACATTTCTTCTGCTGTTTAGCTACCGGCAAAATTTGGCGGTTGATTTCGTCGTAGCAGAATTGGCCTTTGAATCTTTGGACAAGTTTTATGAATTTGTCAATGAATTGGGGTTGGTTTATGCTGATCCTGAACAACATCTAATCGACTGCAAGACAAGCAGTGGTTCTGTAGGTGCTTGGTAAAAAAAGCCACTTCAATTTTTTTGGTGGAAGATATATAAACGAAAACCATTGTCGTGCACATTCATAGGCACAAATCTGTGTGTGTATATGCATATGTCTCCCGACTATATGCATATGTACACTTCACATACATATGCATATGCATGTGCATATATTTAACTACACATTGATCTGCTACTGATTCTTACCATCCCCTAATCATTGTTCTCTTCGTTGATCGACGCCACACAGTCGAGCAACAATTTGTAAATGAAAGTTTTCCCCGCAATAATTTGTACATATACGTGTCTCAATCTCAGCCCCGGCGCAAGCGAAGAATCCACATACAGGCTGATGAATTGTACAAAAGAATTAGGATGACCGTTTTAAAGTCGTCTGCAACTACCTCAATAAAACTCGGTATGAAGCCGAGGCTCGTAGTAAATTACAGAAAGAGAGAGGAGACGATAGCAAATTATCTTCAGGAAACAAACACTTCTCGTTTGGTCAAAACTTCAAATTCCTTCGATCGTGATCGATCGATTCTCCAAAATTAGTTCATGTTATATATTATACGTGTTCTTACTCTTGTGTCTGACGATTCTAAGCATCTTTTTCTAAATACTGTCCGCTGAAAGGAGTTGGGATTTTTTAACCACTAGCCAAATCTTTTGCTCTACGCAAGAATCTACATCTTGTCGCCACTTCGAGAGGGAAACTTCGACATTTCGTATTGGGGATTCACAAGCACGCGTGAATAGAAATACAGTGATTGTTTCTATGATAGAAAATAGTAAGGAATTGGAATTAATGAACGTATTAAATATACGCAATCGCTATGAAGGGCTTTCTGGTAAGAAATGTATTCAGTTTAAAAGGATATTGGCATGCTCGACAACTCGTCGACGAAGAAGGAAGAGAAAGGAAGTCGGAAAGATCTCAAGTTCGGTTCGGCGGTTCAAGAACGGCTCGGTGGTAATAGCCACACGAAACATCTGTACAAAGGGAAAGAGAAAATACTCGACTTAACGTGTTCAACAATCGAATTATAGGAACTTCTAATGGGACAAATGCATATTGGCAAATCATGCCATTCTCGCGTGTGAAGAGTGATTATTTTTATCTTTTTAAATATTTATCGCAGGACAATGTTTTTTTTCTTTAATAGTCTATTATCAATTCTCAAGTGTCGAGATGCAAGGATATATTAAATGAGAAAAGACGGACATTTTTCATTGTACGATCACGTGCGAATATAGTGTTGTACGTAATAAATTATTTAATTTTCGGATATTATAGTACTTCTTAATCTAATGTTATGTTAGAGACCTAATAGATTTAAATTAAATGCAAATCATGATTTTACTACCAATAAATACAAAATTTATTATATGTGTATTTCATGTTTCAACTACTAAACCACAAATAATTACTTACTAAATTCTGTAACCTTTTCTCTCGATGTCGTTAAAAATTATGAAGATATTAATACGGCAGTCAATATGTAAATCTGTTTCCAATCATAAATGGAAGTAATCATATTTTACACGATGCACAATGAATCCTCTTCAGTCATTCAGATCTTTTGATGTGTTCTTTTATCTCAAAAGGATTTATCTGATGACTAAAAAGTAAGATCTCTTTGGTGTAACTGTTCTCTGTGTATTTATTAAATTTCTACACAGAGACAATGAAGTTATATCAATATTGCGTGCTATCACGCAATTTATATCGCAATTATATTTATCACAATAACGTAATGTTTATTTCACCATAAAAATGAAATAATATATATAAAATTTATTTCAATTACACGGAAAAGTAAAACTTTTATTATGTGATACAAGAACGGAAATGCTCAGAGAAAATTATATAAACGCCAAAGTAAATATTTCATTAGAAAAAATACAGATTTGTTGCAATTATTTGTTACATTGTAAATACGGAAATTGCATATAAAATATAGTTTTATAAGTTAGTTTCCTGACAATTAAAACATGTTCTTTTTATTGATTACAATATCCGTTTACAATGCAATATAGTATGAGCAACCAATGCAGTTATTTAATGTGAAGTTTTTTCAATCGGTTCGGTTTTTGTGCACAAGTCGCCAATAAAATTGTGCGATGTTACAGCTAAGTTTTAGTTTTTTAATTCATTGTTACACAAATATTTAAATTAAATGTTTTTTTATATAGATATATATATTTTTTTCAAATCATACACAAGCATGTGTATAAATTAACCACGTCGTGAAATGCATATAATAATCCTAGCTATCTCACATATCGTAAAAACTATTAAATTCATTTTAAGTCCGACAAAATAAATAAAAACAGTATCGCAATGGAAATTGAAACCGAAAATTCAATAACGAAAACAACATTTTGTTTTATTCATTCCATCAAACATCGTCGAAAAATTTTGTGAAATGGAGCATAGATTTATCGATTTTTTTCAAATGTTTTCACGGATTTCGTACATTCTCGGAAAATATGTTCGTGTAAAAGTGGCTAAAATTCGACCTCTATATCGCAGCATTGCGAATTACAAAGTGCGTAATAACTTGATGTATCACGACATTTCTAATTATTTAGTTTGTGTTTTAAGAATTATATATGTCGTTGCAGAAGCATGTGTTAATTGCATAGATTGATAAAATGAGCATAAAAATTACTTATGTAACAAATACAATGACAAAAAAATAACACTACGCACAAAGTTTTAAAAGAATTGCTCGAGCTATATTTATTTAACTATCTAATAATAATACAACTATCTTATTGATTTATAAAGAGAATAAAATACTTTAGATCTTCAATTCCAAATCTATTAAAATTTAGACTCAAAAAATACAACATTGTATAAAATGATATCAAGTTGTTTTCATGCCACATCATACAATTTTAACAGACAGTCGTGCATAATTCAACATATATAATTCTTAACACAAGTATCGTTAGCCGAAACAGTACGGTTATTACTTACGCTATTACTCAAATAAAAAATGTTAATATTGAAACGTACTTTCATGAAAAGAAACCAGGATGGCTGATAATGTCACTGGTACGACAATTTATACGGATAGGGACACGAAACTGTTATACTGAGTGATGTTGCGTTTCAAAATATCCGCGCACGGACCTAAAACTCGCTCGAATCTTGCTCGGTCGAGTTTCACACATTTTAAAGGGCCTCGCGCCACGACAGTCGCTGCTCTCGGCCTGTCCAATAGCAATGCAATTTCACCTATAAATAAATAGAACATTGTTGTTGAGACAATTCTTTTTTTACTCATCTCTCTACTTTTCTCTCTACTCTATTATCATTAAATTGCATAACTATTAATGATCATTCGAAAGAACGAGAACGTACCGAAATAATCAGATGGTCCTAAACGACCGACTTCCGCTAATTCTTCACCCTCTGAACGTTGCTGTAAAACAACAGCTGTGCCTTCGACGATTATGTAAAAATCTTCACCCGGTTCACCCTGCCGAACTATTGTCTCACCATCGTCAAATGCCACCGGTTCTAAAGCATCGGCTACTGTGAGCCGTTCCCACTTATCCAAAGATTCTAAAAATAATAGGAATTTTATACAATAAGAATCAGTGATTTTGGCACGTTCTTATGAAACATGAAACGTTAGTTACCCAAAATTGAAACTCTGGAAAGGAACTCCTCATACATCTTTCGTTTCCTTATTGTAGAGCCCATGAGAATTCTGCGATATGAATCTCTATCGATACCCCATAATTTAACATCGGTCTTTGCTCGAACAGTCGCAGCACGTGGAGTCCCATATATCAACGCAAGTTCACCGAAACTTCCACCTTCTCCTATGGTCGTGGCTAGTTCACCATTGACAAAGATTTCGACCTCTCCTTGATCGATTACATAAAAGTTGTCACCTTCGTCGCCTATTAATGTATAACAAAAAATATTCGACGTAAGCTAGTTTCGCTTAACGATTTTCTCGGCGACTGATAATTAAACCTAATACTATTTTTAGTACCTTGACGAATAATTGCCTCTCCGGGCAAAAACGTGACAGGAAACATGGCGTCAAATATATCAGAACGTTCGTTCTCGTCGAGATGAGCGAAGAGGACATTTTTTGCGATGGCTTTACTCAAGGCAGCCATTGTTTTGTAATCCTTGGGCACAACTTTTTTAACATAACTTGTCGCATCTTCTTCAGAGACCGGCTCCGCGGAGATGCCTCCTCTTCGCCTCGGAACTTGAGGACCTTGCTGTCCAGCAGGTATGTCCTCAGTATCCTCTGGACTGGTCGCAATCTGTTGCTTAGCATCGTGAGCCTGCTCCTGAAATCAAAAAGCGAAAGTCGATCAATTTCATCGAGATGATAACCAATGACATTACGTTCAACAAACGTTACGCAACCTATGTATCTAGGCTTTTGCTAACAGGAATTAGGTTACCGGAGAAACCATCTTTTGAGCTTGGTGATTCTCGAAACTCGATCCAACAGGGGAAAAAAGAAATGTAATATAAATTTACTCTTGAGTGATATTCAGAGAAGGTGAAAATACTTGATTACTCGATCAAGCGATGGTTTCATTTTTGTACCTATTTTATTTGTTTACATTTACGGGTAATTAAAGAACATTATCGATCATAAGATTCAACACTATTCACGTATTTTGCTCTACTTGCCTGTTGCACCATGTCGAAAGCTGATGATCTCCTAGGTGTTTTGCAATTACTATCTTCGATCCTATATGCAATCGATCGATGCTCTTTTTTAAAACCAACAAAAAAAAACTTGTTTTCGCTTGCGTTATTTATTTATTCCAAAACGAACGACACAACCCTGAAAGAGTCACGTAAGAAAAACAAGCCGCTTTTATAAGTCAATTTTGCTTAGACATGCGCAACACACGTTACTGTGCCCTTCCTTTAATGAAATCATGTACTCTTAATTTCCTAGGTATATATGTATGTATATGTTAAAAACATGGGTAACTTGTACTGGCTGGATCACAGCAAATGTTATGTAAAGTCATTTTTTCCACAGCAACTACTTTCATATGTCAACAAGGTTCTTCTTTTTTTCACTCTTTCTGTAGTTAATACAAACACCTTATGTGGCAAATGATTAATAATGTATTTTATTTTTATCATTTACATGTCTTTGTAATGATAAACAACATCAAATCTATCGATCCAAAAATTATTTCATTACAATGACAAAGGGCAACGGGATATATCAGAGAGATAAAGAAGCCAACACTTGGTACTTTTTAAAATGAATTCTGTAAGAAATAGAGAAGATTACAAATTCCCATAATTGAATACGTCTGTACTTAGGTATCGCTCCCTATCTACCAAAAGTAAACCGATTATTGTAAAATTATATAAGCCTTTGGATAAAATATTATTATACCGCCTATGGACGACGAACATCGATAAAAAGGTAAACAAATAATGCCATAGGTCACTTGATGTTTTTGCAGATGAGTGCCTCCTCGTAAATGCGCAATATAAGACGAAAACATTGTACCAATTGCCGACACCATACGATTTTTATACTGTTTAGAGTCGTATTAATTTCACCGTTATACATATGTTTTATTAAAATTTAATAGCAATTAAGAAGAAAGATTTTTTGAATATCAAAATTGACTAGAAACAGAAAAATAAATTGAGAATCATTCGTCTTTTCGCAATACTTAGTTTAGTTCGTTAAATCATAATATTTAGAATGATTACGTCTTTGCAATAAAAAAATGCCAACTTATACCAAATAAATATTATTAGCGAAATTATTGTTCTAATTGGTTATAAGATATTTTTTTCTTCAAAGATGAAGTATGATTTATTATATTATTATTCCTTTTTCTTTATATCAATCGCCTCTATTATATTCATATAATATCATATCATATCAAATTCGTCAACATTAATTCATAATAGCATCTATTTGCACATTCATTTATTTCACTATATTTTATTTTTTATTGATCATAAGTTACATTAAACGAACAAAATTTTTCTAATAAAAAATAGTTAATATAAAATGTTATAGCTTAAACAAACAAAACTGTTATTAATAAAAAGATTTAATATAAAATGCAATTAAAAATAAGACAAATATTCTAAAGAAAGAAATAGCGCGCACGTGTGTGTATGTGTGTGTGTGCGAGTGTACATGTTATATTTAAAATACTCCTTTATGAATGTACATGAATTCCAAATTAACAGTGTATTATCGCACACGAAAGAACAATAAAATAATGAAGATTAGTTGGTCAGTGATCCTAGCACGTGCTGGAATGGCATCCATTTGACGTTCGAACAATAAAATATCACGTGTGTTATATTATAAAGAAAAAAGGTTCACAAATATGCCATCCGATTATTTTTAATAAGCTGTGATGAAATTCCATGGATATCTCACATTTATTTCTTTGCAATAATTACATAATAGAAATTGCAAAATATTATATCAGTCAATTCCATTGTGCGCAGTAAAGACTCTTAATAATCATTATAGCAAAGCGATTTAACTTCAGTGAATATCCGAAGCATAAACTTTAGATTGCCTCTAGCTCAGTAAATAATACATTCAAGAATCAAGAAGTTATATGGAGAGATATTAGAACGCATAAAATGCACGCATGAATAATGATGGATATTTGAATCTCATTTTTGAAGCAATTTGAAGTTTTCTATACTATAAAAATTAGAACCACTTCGAATATAATTCGATGCTTAAAACTGATACAAATTTTGGTAAGTTTCGAATCGTGATACGCTAGAATTCCATTAGATCAGACTCTTCAAAGTTTCAATAAATTTTGGGAACTTACTGAACATTCGATATCTTATATAATATTTCATAAATTTTAAATATTATAAATAAAATATAATATAAGAAATTGTAAATATAATTTATCGAAGATATAAAACATCGAATACTCGCGAAAATTTCCAGTCTTTGCAGTTCTTCAATGCCTATCAAAACTCTCAAGGCATATCCGAACTTTAAGGACTCAAGATCTATCAAGACTCACGATTCAAGATTTACCAACACTTTTAAAAGTTGAAGTATCGAATCATACGCGGTAAATGATTCGAAGTGTACATATGTGCATATTTGATGCGATTCGAAGTGTTTCAGAATTCATCACTACGCATAAATCTTGTAAAAGATCGGATATTCGCGACCGTACCTCGTACATTATTTGTCGATATTACTTGATATTCAATACACGTGCACACGTAATTTTTACCCGATTACGCGTATATTCTTTAACACTCGTCGTCTCACAGCCAAATAATTGTATCACAAAAGTAAAGTTTCTCTTAGTGGTTGGCAAGCGAAAGAGAGTAATGCACAAATCACGGCCACAATCGTTGCTGATCGCGCGCTACCACGTCTACCGCGCGCCGCTTCGGAATTTTCTAAGGTCTCGCCAAATTCGATTAATGCGACACGATCTTTCGTTGTAGTTGATATAAAGTCGACGCCGCGTGCCAGATGGTAGATATACCATATGATGTGCGTCGAATTTTCGTTGATTCAGAATCAGATTGATATGGGTAACTCATTGACAGATGAGGATTCAATGGATAACAACAACAATACTTCCGGCGTTGCCTGTTTAAAACGCATTGTCGTAGCGCGCTTCGCACATTTTCTAGGACAACGCGTTACACCGCTTTCATCGTTGTTGGCTAAGGTTGCGCGCTTCGTTATATTTCGAGCATGTGCTATATTTAGAGCAGCCCCTACAATTGCACATACCTCGTCTCTTTCGATACGTGTATACATCCGCGGGGATAGGAACCGATGACGAGCATCTTATTTTGTGACTCATATTTCCACGGTGGATGTACATATTTGTTTAATGATCGCGTAATTCACTCAGAAATGGAAAACGTTATCGATCATTTTCTGCTATGTAGCGCTGCTGCGACGCAGTAAAAGGAGGGAACTCAGCTAAATGTCCTGCCGTTGTTTACGGAGATACGAAAATCTTAATGTCAAGGATAATGCTGTAGAACTCCAAGGAAAGATATGTGTATTATTCAGGACTGCTATGTAAGATACGGCTGCGTAAAGACATTCCGTTTTTTATTGCAAATGAAAAGACAAACTAAAGAAAATGATAATATCAACCGTACAAATGCTAGAAATAATTGTTGACAAAAGTAACGGAATTAAGGTTCTTATGACTGGTAATATTGAACGCTATCCCCACCACTGGCTAGTATCCCCCACCGAAAGAAACTAGCGAAGTGGACGCGTTTAAATAAATACATTTGGCGCCAAGTATGTAATTCAAATTAACTTATTAGTCTGATGTGAATCAAATCATTGACAAACATACTATATATACGTCTTTCATTTTCCTATCAGAGCGTTTTACTTCTCACTAACTACCTTTGATACCCTTATAATACAAGGTCAGTCGTTTGTAGAGCCCTTCCTTCGCTGATTATTTATCGCTATTTACTAGCGATCTAAATCACATCACAGCAGTTAAGGCTTAAAAAGGAGATGTTTATATAATATTTTTTACGTAAATCTCAAAATTAAGTATTATGATCGCGAACGATAAACGATTCGAATTTTATATCATATTTTAAGTCATACGTAACGGCAAACTTTTGAACGGTTGCTTGTTTAATTAAAAATACTTCACAGTCTCCGGCATTTATTACAATGTTAAAAATTATGTGTGCATTCAACATAGAATCTTTTTCCAAAAAACATTGATGTTAGAATACAGTATTTTAGAAAAATAGATAAATTAATATAGAAAATCAACAAGTATGTAAAATTAAATGCAAGTGCTAATGATTAAATGGCATAAGAAAAGAAATTTAATGATTATAATATTGTTTCCAAATATGTAACGACTAAATACCTATTATATAAAATGGATTTGCATTACGTAATGAATAGATTCATTAATTGAACATAATTCTTTTATTTTTTAAAATACTGATATTAATTGTTCTAATGACTAATTATATAGAACAATATCCCAGCAAATGTTATTTGTAAATCTCCTAGAATATAAAGTGACATTTGAAGAGTTATGTATATGCTATGTGCGTACCATTCTATTTGTATTGATCAAGATAACTTTTTGATAATACTACAGACTCTATTTATGAAAGTGCCATTAACATTGGCAATTCTGTATTAATAAAATCAAGTAATTAATATTGATTTGTGTAGATATTATTTTGTCTTATCTGTCCTTGTACAGATCCATTTATTCTCTTATCTGTCCTTTGACAGATCCTTACTGCACACATGCAGCTTAGCATTTTAATTGATATTTTTTTTCAGCTTTGTATAATCACAATATGAATAGCTATCTGAACAATAAAAGAAAATACATAAAAAAAACTAGTGAACAAGATCAGTAGTTTATTAGTAGTGATGAAACCAGTAAAGAATAATGAATCTGAGGTTATTTTAGCAGAACATGATTCAATACGTACCCGTTCCAGTTTTTGAAAGTATTCTCTCAAGAATGATATGGGATTTTCAGGACGCCCCACACACAGCTGCACTATACAGTCTTTTAAAACTTGTTGAATATTGTGTCTCTGTACGTATTCCTCGCACTCTCTTAAACTTTGCTCCTCCTCGAGATTCGCCGCCATATTGATGCACAAGTTGACACTTTATAGCAAATACCTATTCAACAATTCCGTTCTTGACATAAATATTGCGAATATATCAGTTTTCATTTGATAATTCAATCTTTTTTATATAAAGAATTTTAAAATATCTTTCACATGGTTATTTATCTATATTATTCATTGTACGATGCATAGTAGACCAGACATAGTAGACAATGTTTTTTCGGGGTTTTAATTCAATAAAGAATGACTGCCGCTAAATATGAATTCGAATTTATTGGTTCCCCTTGAAAAATACAAAAGTACAAGAAATAACTATGACTGCTGATATTTCAGATACATCCGAAAATTAAAGATACATTTTCTGTTGTTTCATTCTTGTTCTGATAAAAATATGTCTGTAATCGTTTGGAATAAGATTTAAATAAATACGATCACTACCTAATTAATATATGTAAAACTTAGAAATAAATAAATTGATCTTTTGTTGAAATTTGATACAAAAAATTTTCAATCTCACATGAGTAAAGCATATAGTCTAAAAGTTAAATATAAAAAAATAGTTAATGAAACTTGATTGTACAAAAAAGTAGAAATTCGACATTATTAAATTTGATTGGAATAAAAATTCTGAAAAAAACTTATTTGAATATTTAAAAAGCAAACTGTAATTAACAGCATGTAGTATGATTGGGTGATAGGAATTTAGAAAATATTTCAAATTTATATTTTTAACTTCTAACAATAATATATTTTAAAACATATTGTCAATAGGTGGATAGACATTATAACATATAAACTATATTTTAAAATATAAGATAAGAATGTTTTTTCTGCTCTTAGCAGTTATATTTCTGTAATCCCATATCAATGATATCATTTTGAAAAAGATTTTTTCTGGCATTTAATGAAAACTGAGGAGAAATGGGATTTCAGAATTAACAGTTTCAAACTGAAGTCTTATCATTTAGAAAATGTATGGCCATGTTTCTCTATATACACTGATATTTGTGTCTAGCACAGAATGATTTCAAATACTTATGCAAATGCCAATGCATTGTAGAATCCTCTAAAATATTATAATATTGTGCAAGCTCATTAAATACAATACAATACTTTATTGTAATAAATAATTTAAAAAAATTATGATACAGATCTTGTGTTATTTCAACTTAAAATTTACAACATCGCATATATTTAACATACTCTATACATTTATACATAAATAAATACTTATTATGATCTTTAAAAAATTACAAATTTTCACATGGGGGATTCTCCAATGATCTCATTTGAAAATGTAGTTTTTAAAACAATGATTCATAACAAATAAATACATTATGCTTAACTCTCGCAGTTTAATTTCATGTCTTGCTTATTTCATCTATTTAATCTAGTTGTGCAGTTTTTTTTTTAATAATAATCTAAATTTAACTATAGAATGCACGCGATGCATGTGTACAATAAAAAAACAGGAGTATCATAGAATATTGCAACATATTCTGCACTTAGTAATTACAGTTGCTTAGGAATAATTACAATTGTTTTAAGGATGCATTGACTCGTATTGGAAATACTTTTCTGTTTTTTTCAGATATTACACTTTTATTAAATTGCGAGTCTAACAAGTGATTGCCTACAAACAATACTTCCCTGTATTCTCGTTTCTTTGGACTATTTCGTCTCTTTCTCTAACAGCATTAAAAATTATCAAAATTCACCGCAATGCTTCTGTAATTAAATTCAGCATTAAGTTTTACTTAATCCCTAAATTGTATTATTGTTCAATATTATATGCATATGGTCGTTTCTTAAATGAACATGAAAAACATAACATAGCATAAAAGATAAAAAAACTCCAAATTACAAAACACATTATGAAACACTTGAATATAATAATGTGATCTTTCTAGAGTGCCTTTTAATGATAAACCACTATAGTATCTAAAATTCTGACCATGGTAACGCTCTGATAATATAATAAGAATAAAATAAACAAGATTAATTTTAAATAATAATGCTCTTTTGTATAATTGCTATTGTATTATATATATTAATATAGGCACTTTCTACAAGTAACTGGAGACCTTTAAAATGTGCAATAAAAATGAAATTTTCAACAACTTTCTTATTATTAAAATCCATTTCTATGTAGGTGCTAAAAATATGTCTTTTTTAAAATAGTAAATTAACTAAGAAAGTCGAATAACTAATTGTTAAATAGAATATACTTATACATATAGTTGTAAGCACACATAGTTTTATTAGTTTTTTGAGACGGTTATGATAAAATTCTCATAATATCTTAACTATAAAAATCGTGTATCATGGTTAATACAAAGTGCAGTTTGTAATCTAAACAGCATTTGTTTTGTTTCTTCATTCATTATACATTTATTGCTCTAAATAGATTTGTAAATTGATAGATTAATTGCACAAGGTGTGATACTTGTTCCAAAAGTTACTTTAATGTACTTGGTAACATTATAGCTTTTAAATGTGATGAAGGAAAATGAAGTTTTGCGATGTAATAAGAAACTTTCATACAATAGAATTCTCATGTAGAAAAAATAAAAAATATTCAACAAACGAAGCTTAAAATATTGAAACTATCTTTTTTAAATTAATGTTGTATGCACAAATCAAGATCCATATAAAAATGCACTGCTAAAATTTAAAAAGAGATAATTAGCAATTTAATTACTTACAAAGCTCATTCAATGATAAGCTTCTACAATTCGTAATCTATCCTCCATCATTTATATATTTATAAATAAAATTTTTTAATAGATGGCCACCATGGTCTATTGTTACTACTTATTGCTATCAGATTATTACACCATGATTTTAATGATTTCGCTCGAATAATACTGATTTGAAATTAATATCAGACTAATGTAATCTTAAATATCGGTTTTTAACATAAAATGAAATTTTCTAATGTAATACATACTTGTTGGTATTAAATGCATAAGATTTGCTGTTCTAGAGAACTATTCAACTTCGATGCTTAACTTATCAACTTTTTAAACTTATTAATTACATCTTGTTCATGGTTTTTAAGGCACCCGATATACATGAAAGGAAATTTGAATGTACAACTTATTGCTCAAGAGAGATTGCCTTATCACTGGAACTTAAAAATCATGAACGAGCGCGAGTTTTTTTTTAAATTCTGACATTTTTTTCGTAATAAATGCAAAATATGACTGCTATATTAAAACAATGTCATATAAAACATTCCTAAAAGTAAAACAACAATATCTGTATTTTATAATCGACCTAATCTATGAAGTATAAAAAATAAATAGCAGTGCTTAATTAATAGCAAGGTACATAATAACACGTATACATAAAATAACATAAAATACATAATATATATAAATAAAATAACTCGAGGAAATTAATATTGCTAACTATAGAAGTTCACCAATATTCCATACAAATAAAACTAGAGGCAGTAAAGTAAAACATTTATATAATTTTTTCAAAAATGATAAATATCTTTCTCAAAAATTGACTAGTACTTGACATATCTTTGATCTAATTTATTAACTAGAATATTTCTGTATGTTTATGCAAATATATGAATGTTGAATAGTGATCTATTTTCCTCTGTGATTTATTTGGCAATAATACTTACTTCGATTCTTACGGAGTTGTTGATGTTAAAAATGTTGGATCAACTGCAGCAACCTTCGCAGTTAAGAATGCATGCATACAGAACAATAAATTCTGCAACTGAGAACATTCCAATTCCTACAAAGAAAAAGAACATGAGGAAATAAATTATTTTTACTTATAACAAATAAATACCTTTGTCTCAATAGCGATACTATCCAACTCTTGAAAATGTAACTTCAGTCTACTTTTTCCATCGTCGCTAGATCCTCTTAATTGTGAAAATTTATAACGCCATACAGTCTCTCCAATATCTTCATAAGAAAGTGTAAAACCTTGAGTCCATTCTAAGGTTAATCCTGCGCTCCTTCCATTAAAAGTAACAGGAAAGGTTTTACTCTATAAGAGAAAATATATTATAATAGAAAATTCTATAAATAATATCTAACGAAATACATAAAAGCTTATTACTAACTTTCAAATGTGTAACAGCTGAACACACTGCAGTATGCCATGCTGCCTCAACTCTTAAGAGTTCTTGTCTAGTTTCAACGCTTAGATATCGTGGAGGTTTACCCGGACTTTGTGCTAAAAAGCAGTGCTGTCTTTCATCTACATTTTCGGACTCTCGCATTACACGAAACATTGTTTGATATACTTTAAAAGTTAATGCACATCGTGACCAATCTCCTATATTACACTAGAAATAAATCATAGTATTTAGTTGTACAATATACACTGTTAATACTTTATTAATACTTACAGGGGGCGTTTCAAATAATAACAAATCGGGTCCTTTCAGTGCTAAAAATCTCGGTCTATAACTCTGCCATGGCTGATTACTATTGCTTACTGCTTCATTAACCCAGCCCATGTATTCTATACGTTCACCGACTCCAAAATTACGATTATATAATTTCATCTGAAAAATAATTATGTAAATTATAAACAAGTATATGGAAATTATAAATAAATGAACTTGGAATATTATGTTTTTCACCTGTAAATGTGTTAATCCTGTAATATTATCAGTTATATACTTTAACCATTGACTCAGAATAGCACTATCATCACAGTGTATTACACCAGTACGTGCACCATTTAATCCTCTTACTTCGAACGCATTTCTTCTTAACTTATCTGTTCCAAAGATGTATCTTGTCACATAAGCCATCATTAATGGAACTGGAATTACAAAAGATTATTAGCTCCCTTAAATAAATAAAGAAGAAACATATCATAAAACATTATTTCAACCTGTTATAACATCTATCCATTTCTTATATTGCATTGAAGTGGCTGATGCATTTGAACTTTGTCTACTATGACCACATCTAGGACTACCACTTTGTCTGTTAGGTGATAACCATTCATCTTCTGAACCTCCATTTGCAACATTATCTAATTTCTCTTCTTTTTCTAAAAATTATATTAATGCAAATAATACAGTGAAATGCAAAAGAAAATAGTTTATATCATAGAATTGAATAAATCATATTTACCATTTTTTTGTAAAAATGGCTTTGCTGCACGATAATGTTTTACTGTCAAAACTACTATATCACCTGCATTTCTCAAAATGTTAACAGCATCATCATGATTACATGCAGTTATATATTCTCCATTTACTATAAAAAAATAAAATTATAACTTTAAATGATATAATTTCCACTGATATTTTAAATGTGGGTTTTACTTTGTAACAATATAGGTGAATAGCTAACATGGAACAATATTTCAAAGGAAGAAACCAATATTGACAGGTCTGACACAAATAGAATAAGCATTCAGGACTACCTATATACAGAAATACAATTCTTATTGATGAAATATCTTTTCATAAAGAAATATCAAAGTTCATATCATTTACATCCATTAATTATGATAAAAAAATATTTAAAAATTATTTAATAATTTATATTTAATGATTACTGAACTTACCTTTAATAATTGCATCTCCTACAAATAGTTGACCACATTCATCAGCTGCCTGACCTTTATAAATTCTAGATATGAGTACAGGAAGTTTATGCTCTGCTCCTCCCTTTATGCTTAATCCTAATCCTCCAACCTTTTGTCTAGTGATTTGCACCATTCTCTCTTTAGCATCTAATGGTGGTTTATTATGATTTGCTGTCTGCTGAAAATCAGTATTACTTTTTATAAATCATACAAATAAGATAGTAATGACATAATATGATGATATTAAACTTTACCTCTAAATCTTCCCTTTGGAGCTTTAAAACTTCCATAGACAGATGTAAACGCATTGGTACTGACTTACTTTTTCCATCACTAACACTCACCATCCCTGTCCTCACCTTTTCAAAGAAAATAAATATTGAAATCTGATTTATTTGAATGAACATTAAATGAAATAATTATCTTGAATTATATAAATATATATTAAAGAGTTGTATACATTTAATTAAATTTTTATATACAAATCCTTCAAATCATATATTTCATATGTACAAATGATATATACATAAAAATCCATTATAAGCAGTTATATATATTATAGGAGTATAATAAAATATTAAACTCATCATTGATAAATTTAGAAAATCAATCCCAGTTTCCATTTGAATTACAAGTATCCCTATATATTAATTAATTAACTGTATCATTCAATTACTTTGTAAATATGCATTCTATTATATAGATATTCCCAAAAATTTACAATTGTTTATTTTTAACTTATAGTACCAAACTTTTTTATATATCTTGATATTCAAATGACTATACAGTTGAAATAAAAAAGAATATGGAACAATATAATTTTTTAATATTATACTATTACATTTATAACATAAATAATTCCTAAAATTTCTGAAAAATTACAATTTTTTTATGATTCATCTATTTCATATTTATATTTCGTTATTTTAAAATAATAATAATCCAAAAATTAACGATAAAATTTGACTGTGGAATAAGTATGTACTGCAATATCCTCTTTCACATTAACAATGTTTGGATTTTAAAAAATTATCAGAAAAACACTAAATTATGTTTAAAATAACTAAGTATATTAATTGCTTACCTTCAGCTTCTGATCAATCTTCTCCTCGATCGGAGTACTCATTTTCGTTGCGTTGATTCTCATTATTTAATATAATTATGCAGCTCATACATACAAGTCCCCGTATTGCCAAACACAAATTTCCGGGGTTAACAAAGTTTCGTAAATTGTTGATATAACAAGTAACATAGCTTTAGACGAATCGTTCGACACAATTGCAAGTACTACTCGAACAATGAAAAGCCAAGATCATATTCTTATTGTTCTTATCAAAAAAAATTCACCAAAGTACTCGCAGAAGATATGTAATCAAGAACTCACGATATTTTAAAATGTGACAAATTTATCGAAAATCGTGATTTTTCAAACCATACCATCGTGACGTTTTAAAACGTTCGGTGAAGTAAAAACCCCGTTAACCGGGACGCAGAAAAATTGGAGTGGGCTAAAAGTAGCTAAAAGCCCGCGGCTGAGGCGCATCGATTTATACACTGCAACGCGCATCGATGGTACCTCGTTTGTTTCAAATCGCGGGAAATACGAAAACAGAATATTTTAGTATATTATTTATATTTCGTTATATTAGTTATTTATATATGATTTGATAAATTCAGTGATAAAATTTTAACATATGTGATATATAAAAAATGTATTGACATAGGATAGCGATAAGAATGATATTCAAATGCAGATAAGTAATATTATGTTTTCTAATCACTGCACATTATCGAAATTTGCTATATTATTTATTAATCATAATTGTACAATAAAATACATTGAATTCCATTCTTTAGGAATTCGAAATAAAAAGTGCATTACACATGCAGCATAGAAAATATAAGATTTTTATTAAGGTATAAGTATTCTAACAGTAGAATAATACACAGTTATATCAAAAAATATCTAAAGAATATATACAATGCAAATTTCTTCGCCGTTTATTGTGCCATTGGGGTTTTATTTATGAACGCATAATTAAACAGAAGAGCGTTCACTTTTTATTAACAATGAATAATAAAATTAATCTACACAATTTCCTTTATAACTTATATTTTCTTTATACAAGTTACTTTATATGATTAGTTTATTAATTATAATTTGCTTTCATCTGTTAAAATAAAAAATTATTTCACATTTTTATAACAATAGCAAAAATTTTATTTCTCCTGCACAATGCTTTATTGTAAGAAAAAATGTGCAATTAATAGACTTAATCAAAAAACACTATCTGCGAAATTACGCATGAAACAACATATAAGCATTCCTCTTTAAATAAATTTAAATACTTTTCACATAAATTTATTATGAAAACATGATTGTTTTTAGAAAATCATAAGATGCATTTATAACTCCCCAACTTATAAATGATCGCATACAATTTAAATGTACACCTTTGTAAAATGATATTACTCTTCTATCTCTTGCGACATATACTTCACGAATAACTGTCATAAATTTCTCAAAATTACCACCTATTTTTGACTGCATATGTATTTTTATTACATTTATAGGATAAAATACAGTACTTGTGAAACCACCAATTAAAGCACCATTAATAAAACTTGTAAATAATGACTCTTGTTCACCAATGTATGTTTTTGATTGTTCTTTGAGAATAAAGAACACGAAATTGGAACAACTATTTCTATATATAATTGGTACTAATCCACGATAACATTCTGATATACCATAATTTTTTAATAAATATTTAAATGCATGCGAAGTATTTTTAAATTTATCATGATACCGCCAATCCTGGAGCAATGTTTGTACTCTTTCAAGGGGCATAAGTATAGCCTCAACAGTACCAGCAAAATGCGCTGCTATTATTCTACTTAATATATCATTATTTGTTAATGTGCACAAACGTTCTTTACAACCTTCATACATACTAAACATTACACTAACCGAAAGAGTTTTCTGACAAAGGGGTGGTAAGATCCCACGGTATAATAATCTTATTCCCTCTTTAGATATCTGACGAAACGCAGTATTGGCTGGAACATCTTCCAAAATCTGTTACAATAACAGAAATTTATTTATTTAATATGTATATTCTGATGTTTAAAATATTACAAAATAATTTATTTTACACATACCTGTCTAAATATAATCTTATTAATAGGAAAAGTAATAGATACATTAATTACTGCAGCACCCCATCCACAAACAAATTCTTTACAATCATTATTATTAAGTGTTAATAATGATCTTAGTGAGACATTTTGTGAAGCGATGTTACTCATATTAATACTTTGCGTAATAATTTGTTCAGACTATAATTTAGTAGCAACCAATCATAATTATATCTTTTACACCATTTCCTCCTTACATCGTCCGAATTAAATAAATCGTTTACCTGTAATTAGTAGGTAAATAATATGATTTCAATATGTAAAACATTTCATTATTATTCATATTATGTAATTTTTATACACCCTGTAACATTTATACGCTCAATATATGTACAATTTTGTAAATATATAACTCACATTTTATGCAATTCATATTCAGCCCATGTCGCTTTATATGTACTATAAATCCGACATAAATATGCTTTTTGGTTCACCAAATTTCCAACTCGCATTTCTTTCTTAAGTACTATGAACAGTACTGATTATTCAAACGTCGGCTTATGTCAAGATTTTAATCTTTAATTTTCTTTTTCTTTGCATAACCAGATACGACACCAATTAGTTATATACATATGTGAACCAATCAAAGTTACAAAATATCAAATTTCAAAATACATTTCTTGATACACATAATCGGAAAAATGTTATTCACAGAATATGAATTACATTTTTATTTATTTGTAAAACATGACCGTAGAAAGGGAGAGAGAGAGAGAAGGCGAGAGGGAGAGAGAAGGCGAGAGAGAGAGAGAGAGAGAGAAAGAGTAGGGGAATTTCTATTGCAATTTGCAATGGAAATGTGACAAAATATTAAATTAACAAAAATTAATTTTTCTTAATAAAATATTAAAATAAAAATATGAATCATGTAAAACATCTGTTTAGATATTTCTAATTGATATTAATTAACATGTAAGCAAAATTGTTTAATATTATTCTATTATTGATCGATTATAGATATTAAGATTTCTGAACATAAAAACATGTAAATATATCTATGTGTATGTGTGTGTGTCGTATCCACATGTATACAAGATCCATTTCTTATATTGTACATGAGTTCAATTTTTCGTAATGGTAGTAGCATAGAATTAAACTTTGTCCTAATTTCATAAAAGTTGATTACTTCTTTTCTGTTTTGTCTTAAATTTTATTTTAGGGTGTAAAAATAATTTCTAAGTTCATTTTATTATATTGGAAATAAATATTTCGTAAAATTTGTGTATTAACGTGAATTTTGAAAATGCTCCGAATTACAAATTATATTGGACTAAAACCCTCAAATTTTATTAAAATTATTAACTCGAATGCCAGGTAAATTGTTCTTCTTCGAAATATAATAATACATTAGCATTTTTATGCTATTGTTAAAGGTATGTGTCATATAAAAGTATCCAACAATTATCTGTCAGAAAATAGCAGACTGCTCTGCACATTCTATATATTTCACATTTTCTGACACTTTCTAAAATAATTGGCAAAAATTATTTTGTGTATGTTAATTAAATTATTATTAAGTTATTATATATGAATTTATAAATTTGTATTTCAACTATTTATATTTATGTAAAATATGTTAACTAGTTGGACTTTGGATAAATATGATATATATATATGTAAACGGAATGTATATTTTGACTTGATAAGATGATACTTAGATACATAAAAATTAAAAACAGTTGTTATTCATACAATTTGATGAATAACAGACAAATTCAATCAATAATCATCAATTTCATTATTATATGCAACTATAATATATTTATATAAATAATTTTTAAAAATGCAATAAATATTATCAATACATTATATATAAAAAAAGTTAATAATATGTATATATATATATCTATCTGTGATATAAAAGTGACAAAAAAATTATGTAATTGAATCCTTAATTTAAAATTTAATCTAAGTAATAAATTATTTGATATTTACTTATCTAATATGACGTATTTTAGATGTTTTGCAACACAAGCTGCTGTAAAAAATGCACCCGAAGAAAAGCAGGAAAAAAATATAGATTCAAAATCTCAATCTTTTGTTAAGAATATTTTCCTTGGTCAATTAGAGACTACTCAAACATTTCCATTTCCAGATGTTTTGAATGAAGAACAACTTGACACATTAAAATTAATAATAGATCCCATAGAAAAATTTTTTGAGGTAACAAGGTTCTAACAAAAATGTGAGAAACCTCTCAGAAATTTAGCAATTTAATTTAAATTTTTATTCTTTTAGAAAGTAAATGATCCAATGAAGAATGATGAAAATGCATCGATAGATGGAAAAATTTTACAGACAATGTGGGAGCTTGGAGTATTTAGTCTCCAAGTTCCTCAGAAATATGGTGGACTAGGATTAACTAATACGCAATATAGTAGATGTGTTGAAATATGTGGATATCACGACTTAGGTATTAGTATTGTGTTAGGTGCACATCAAAGTATAGGGTTCAAGGTATATATTTATTTATTTATTTATTTATGATATCCCATATAAAAATAATAATTTAAATAATTTAATTTAATCCATATAGGCTATACTTTTATATGGTACCCCAGAACAAAAAGAAAAATATCTTCCAAGAGTTTGCAGTGGAGATTATGCAGCATTTTGCCTCACAGAACCAAGCAGTGGTTCAGATGCTGGCTCAATTCGTTCTCGTGCAATAAAGTCAACAGATGGCTCACATTATGTCTTAAATGGCAATAAAATTTGGATATCAAATGGTGGTTTAGCAGAAATAATGACAGTTTTTGCACAAGTCCCTATGAAAGATCCAAAAACTGGTGAAACTAAGGATAAAGTTACAGCATTTATTGTTGAAAAATCCTTTGGTGGGGTAACAAGCGGGCCACCAGAAAAAAAGATGGGTATTAAATGTAGTAATACAGCAGAAATAAATTTTGAAAACGTTAAAATACCAGCAGAGAATGTTATAAGGAGCGAAGGACAAGGTTTCTCGGTATAAGTAGATTTTAATAAAATTTTTTTACGAATTGTTTAAACAATATTTATTAAACACTTTGTATTTTATCAGGTTGCAATGAATGTTTTAAATAATGGTCGATTTGGTATGGCTGCTGCTCTTTCCGGAACTATGCGTTATTGTATCAAAAAAGCAGTGGAACATGCAACACAACGAGTACAATTTGGACACACGATAGATTATTACGGAGGTATACAGGAAAAATTAGGCCATATGGCGATGTTACACTATGTAGCTGAGAGTCTTGCATATTCAATTGCGGGAAACATGGATAATGGAAGTCAGGATTATTATTTGGAAGCTGCAATTTCTAAAGTGAGATTCTAGTACAAAAAAAATAAAATTTAGTAATTTGTTTATTTTTTTAGTTCAAAATAATTGTTTCAGTGTTTTGCATCGGAAGCTGCATGGTGGGTTTGTGACGAAGCTATTCAAATACTCGGTGGAATGGGATATATGAAAGATACTGGTCTCGAACGAGTTCTGCGAGATTTACGTGTCTTTAGAATTTTTGAAGGAACCAATGATGTCCTCCGTATTTTTGTTGTACTTTCTGGGCTTCAATCTGCAGGCATACATTTGCGACAAATAATGTCAGCATTTAAAATTCCTACCATCAATTTGGGATTGATCTTTGAAGAACTAAGCAAAAGAGCTATGCGAACAATTGGGTTGTCATCAACGCGTAATCTTATGCACTTAGTTCATCCTAATTTAGACAAAAGTGCTGCATTGTGTGCTAAGGTTTATATTAATTCATAGTACTTTGACATAAATATATTAATATTTAATTGATATTGATTGATTTTTGCAGAGCATAGAAACTTTTGGTCAAAGTATAGAAAGTGCCATTGTCAGATATGGACCAAATAATATTGTGGAGCAACAATTTGTTCTTAACAGATTAGCTCAAGCAGCATTTGATATATACACTATGGCTATTGTATTAAGCAGAGCAACTACATCTGCAAACAAAAAACTTCCAAGTATGGAGCATGAACTTCTTATGGCAGAAACTTGGTGTTCTGTGGTAAGCATATAATCTTATTGATATATACTCAATTTTTATTTTCATATTATTTTATATATATATATCTTATTTATATTTTATACTTTATTGTTATTAAATTAACTATTATATTATAGGCATCCCGTCGTGCGAATTCTAATTTGAAATTTGATAAACAATTAAATGTATTTACTAATTTAACCAAAATTTCAAAGAACATGTGTGATGCCGGTGGATGTGTTCAACTAAACCCATTATGTTTTTAATGATACGTTCAGACATTGAATAATTAACGTACAATAATTAACGACTTATATAATATTAGAAATATTAAATCTGTAACAATACTGAAATTTTTTTGATATTTTTACACAAAAGAGATATTGTAAATAAACTGTTATAAAGAATATACACATGAAAGAAGATGCTGTTTATTTTTCATTAAATCTCACAAAATAGTGAATTGAATGCTTAAGAAATAGAGTAATGTACAATAAGTTTGTGTGTGGAGGTTTTTTTTATAATAAATTAAATGCAAGTAGAATTTTTCTGTATCATACATTTAAAAATGTTTGATAACATTCCTCCTATTTACGTTTTCATTAAATGCGATATTAAATATAAAAAAAAAGTACCATAGTATTTTAATTTATAATTAACATTAACTCCTGATTATCTTCTTTTAATCGTAATATAAATGCACAATTTAACAATATCACAACATTACACAAAGGTAAGAATATACTTTCTGATCATTTCTTTATCTGTCTATAATATGGAAGCACATAGAGAATATAGCCATTGTATGATTTAACTTTTACAGCATCCATATAAGACATTAATAACATTAATCGTTAGGTGAAGTACATGCAAAAACAAAATTTGTGTATTTCGTATTATAAGAAGTATTACACTTAAGTTTGAGATTCAAATTATCAATTTTTTCTTTAGAATTTACAAAACGGAAACTATCATTAATTACATATATATTCAACGTTTTTGACTGTATAAAAATCAGTAATGAAATAATATTTAATACTTGTTCTTCCAGCATCTAAAAGTTTACAACTTTTTAGAACTTGATAATAAATGTATTGCATTTCAACTATACATTGGCAGTGTTTTTCTCCAATTCATGATAATTAGTGATAAACCAATTTGAGTCTCAAACTTTAAGCTATTTAAAATATTTAACATGTATAATAAATGCCATTCAAACGCAAATAAAGTGGTATGAAACTATTATGATGAGGTATGATTTTATTATTGAATGTTTAGAACATGAAATTGGAAAGAATTTATCATTACTGACAGATACAACTGTGATCCATAACTTTTCAGAAAAATAGAATATTAGATTATTTCTTAGTGTTTGTGTTACTCCAGGTATGCAATCTTATCTTTAAAAACATATGAATTCTATAACACAAACTCACAATCTGTTAATATATGTATTTGTGTGTTTCCCCTATGTACTATACCTTATGGTCTAATAAGCCTTTATAAGAATATTAGTAAATATACTATCACAAATAAAAAGAAGCACTAATAAAGTCAAATAAGAATCAATATATTAAAGTGTATAAACGAAGAACGATTTTATGATCAATATAATAATTTTTTAATACCATTATCATCTGATAAATTCTCCACTCTTCCACATTACTTTTAGTTTTTATATCACAAC